TTTAAGTGGCTAAAATACAACCCAAATAAAACACTCCATCACCAGACTCTTCAGCTTAGTGAGTAGTTAATCACGGACACTTCAGTAGATAATCATGGATACTAGTTGGACAAGTTATATGATTTTAATCCCTGACAATATTAACATGAACTTCACGTCTCATTTAATTTTAAAATACGTATGATTTATAGCACTATCAGTACGAAGTTGAATAGAAAAAAAGACATACATGATCTGCGGTAGTTTCATGGTCTGGCGCTATAGACGACTGGCCAGGATGAACGATCACATCTTCAACAAGGCTGCTATAAATTTCACGTTGCTTTCGAAGATACGCGGGCCACTGTTGTCGCTCCACAGGTAGATAACCGAGAAGTAGACGCCAACACAACGGTCGCAAGGAGTCAGGAACACCTAGCAATGAACAGACTGCATGTAATCAGTACCAATTTAAATAACCTAAACACAACCTTAAATAATGGCATGTACCGTATAGAAATATGGAAGATGAATTACCAAAACTGCAGCTGAGTCTCAAGTCGCCCAGATCTATTTCCGCGTTCTCTAGCAATAAAACTCTTTCTAACTGCAACAGCCTGAAATATGATTGTCTTCGATGTTCGCATGTAAATCGAATTATCCGATTTACAAAGTAAAATTTTTCATATAAGAATTCACACAATTCGACACTGACCCAGAACCTACAATTGCTAGTAGCACTGGCACTTGTAAAATGGTTACCTTGAGGAAATCAACGGTTAAAAATAGTTTCAAGATGGATGCCAAATGATCAGTCACAAACAGTGAAGATTAGCATTAGCGACGACTGGCTTAGCATCTTATTTTTCAAATGTGTCTAGCCCAAAGCATTTGTAATTTCCGGTAAATCCCAGAAATCTACCACATATGCTTAAGAAGTAGACTGATTAAAATTAAATTTGCATACCGTTCCTTATATTTTTCACCCATTGGTCTTCAGGATTTTGTCGAGAACGGTAGCCTTGCAAACATTCCTGCAACATTGTTCTGTTCAGGACATGATTTCAGTCACGACAGAGCACAAATATTTACCTTTGTCCGATGATGCGATATTTTTCCCCCCAAGATCCAGTGTAAATTTTGCCTTTTTCTGTGACAAATAGCAAGATCTCCCTGATTCAGTCAATTCCCGCCATTATACCCTTTGAATTCCCACACAATTCGAAATTTCCAAACCTTGGAGAATCCCCAATCTCGCACGCAATGTCACCGGAATTCCACACTTGCGTATCATCAGACACACTGTCACCACAAAACGCAGAATAATTGTTCACTCAGACCGCTAGCCACCGCAAAATACCGAACGGTTTGTCCTGCGTCGCACTGAGAGATAAGGTTGTTGGTTTACAGTTAGTCATTTCTGCTAAACCACATACCGTTTAATCCGTTGGTTGTACTTCTATAAGTATATACTCGACCGGCTGCACGCGGATTCACTGAAATTTCTCTGTTTGTTTTCGGGGAAGTAATGTATTTTAAATGATTACGTTTAGGATTAGGATATATTCGACTTTTGGTCAGGTCTTAGTAGCACCATTGTAAAAAAAATGCAATATGTGTTTGGGAAACTGTTGCAGTTGATGGAAAAGACAGTATTAGCTGTAATGGAGACTTGTTTTCAGACTGGAGAGCAAAGACAAAATCTGGATGTGATATCCATAATATGAGGCATTATGCAGGAAATGTATACCAGAATGAAAGATGTTAATTCGGATGTACATACTGTTGAAAACATGATGCAGACTGTGACTGTCACGAAAATCGTTGCCGACCTCGGAATGAACTGGACTGAACTTCATAATGTACCAGTTCCTTTCCCTGCCAACAAATAGCATCAAAACTACCAATTTCAAATTGGGATGAGAAACGTCGCTGCGATACCGTCTAAGCGATATAAAAACCAAATGTCTCATTGTTCGGGACTTCCGTGTTCCTGGAATCGGTTACTGCTCGAGTTGTATTGTCAAAGTGGGTTCTTTAGTGTTATCTGGGGACATGCGGTGTAAACAGTGTTTGTTTCAGGATATTAACTCTGGTTTTTTACGATGTCTGGACGTGGGAAAGGCGGTAAAGGTCTTGGGAAAGGTGGTGCTAAGCGTCATCGCAAAGTCCTACGTGATAACATTCAAGGTATAACAAAGCCGGCTATTCGTCGTTTGGCACGTCGTGGTGGTGTGAAGCGGATTTCAGGTCTGATTTATGAAGAAACGCGTAGCGTACTAAAGGTAACATTTTCAAGTATTTGGTTATTATCATATGTTGTCAAAAATATTGGATCATTTATCAAACTACGTCATAAATTTCGAGAATCTCATAGGTTTTCTTGGAAAATGTTATACGTGATGCCGTGACATATTGTGAGCATGCTAAACGAAAAACGGTTACGGCGATGGATGTTGTTTATGCTTTGAAACGTCAAGGACGTACTCTCTACGGTTTTGGTGGCTGAATTTGTTGATATTAATGCAAGCTGTCATACTTACATATTCAAACTTGTGACTGGTTATTTGTTGATGGCTTCAAAATACTGCAAATGTTTCTGATGCATATGATTTCGTATTAGTTTGTATAACAGTGCTTATTGCTTTGATGGGTTGATGTGAAAACACTGGGCGTACATGGAGAATGCGAGGGTGGAGGCTGATGAAAAAGGAAAAGGATGAACATTGTTTTTAACGTAAACTTGAATTAACTATGAGTAAAATGTAATTCTTAAGCACTGTGTAGTGCTGCGACTAAGGGAATCATTCCTTTTAGATAGTCCTGCCATATCCCTATCAATAATGTTCAATAAATTTGTCGAATTCATAAGGCATAAGCATCATATAACCTGTTTTGTTGGCAGCACTTTTTGACAGTTTATATATATTTTTAGATTTATTTTCTATTCCTTTCTTTTTCTCCTATCATGGATATTTCCTTGCACTTTGTAATTATATTGGGGACGGCTGCAAAATGTTGTAAGATTTTTTGCTTATCGTCCTCACTATAAACTTACTTCGTACATTCCACTTGTAATCACAAACATATTCTAAGATCTAAGCGTGTCTAGTGGGGACCACTGTATTTAAATGATGTAAGTACTTTTTTCCGATTCAAATCTTTATGACTAAAAACTGTGGTCCTGAAATCCTTACAAGTTGTGGTAAGTTCTGCTAAGTCAATTGAGGGGGAATTCATAAGAGACTGAATTTTTCGGGTAACACAATATCAGTGGGTATAATAGGCAGCGATTATAGTATTGACATCAAACTTCATTTCGCCCTTGTTCTTACTGACCACGAAACTTTCATTGTCCACAACAAGGGAGTCTGAAAGGAGTGTGAACAAAGTTTATTTGGCACTCATATTGAGCAGGCATAACGTGATCTTCAATAATAAAGCGGAAACAGATATGAATGAACAGGGAGACAGGGAGTTGTCATACTTTGTTGTCAAACTTTCTTTTGGGAGAGCGTTAAATGGAAAGGCAAATTTTGTTTCGTTAATTATTATTTACATTTCTAAAATTTAATCGTGGGATAAGGCTGTAACCCGCATTATGCATTGCTTTCCTTGTAGCTGATACAAGTTATTGGTTGTCGCTTTTCCGGACTATTCAAAAAGAAATGTCATATATAATTACATAAATTGCTTGGATTGCCAACACTATATGCGAGTTGGAAATTCAAGCAATTCATGTAATTATGTAAGAAGTATATGTATCTCTTTCATTCATGACATGATTGGAGTACAGCGGTGGGTAGGAGTTGCGAATTTAACACGGGCGTGATTTGGAATCAATTATTAGCGATTCAACAGCTGAAGATGAAGCGTATGATAAGAAAATATCAGTGGAAAACGATCAGCATCAACTAATTACGTCAACTAACTAAATAAATGCTGCTATATAATCACTGCGGTCATGCCAAGGGTTGAATGTCTCGTGTTGATCTCACGTGCTCAAATTTAGATTTGTTTCCAAGATGTAAAAGAAAACTGCTTCTATTCAAATAATTAGAATCGGTAAAGTAAGTTTCATCCTTGAGAACAATTCGAAAATCTGTTTTTTGTAAATACTGACTTGTTTATGTACGTATCATTTGATACGCAGGAGTTATGCGTTTTTAACTTTCTTGTCGAATAAATTTTCGAATTAGATATAAATAAGAATGACAAGTTTGGGCTGTATATTTGAAGTAAAGACTGAAGAAAAATACGCTTGGCACGCTTATACTTTGGCTTGATCAAACGTAATAAGTTTCTGGTAACACATCGGCTTATATTTAGATAATTTCAATATTAAAATGAGATGCATTAGAAGACCTGCTAATTACTTTATTCAAGTAAATCTGCTTTCAACTGATAACCTTATGATTCATATTTATGCGAATGCTGACTGTCGTGAAAACGAAGCCTCAAATAAATTCA